CAGCTGGTGCCGCTGCCGCTGCCGGTGCCACCTCTCGTCAGTGGACAAGCGCGTCGCACATGCTTGCAGGTGCACTGTGCTGTTGGTGGTTGACCTGACGCGCGCCTGGCCGCATGCGTGTGGCCGCCCCCCAACTCACTGTGGCCGGCCAGACTCGTCAGGCTCGGACGGCTCCGAGGGTGGGCGGGAGGGCCGCGGCGACAATGACCGGAGCGACGAGGACGAGGACGAGGAGGAGGGCGCCGGCGAGGAGGCGGAGGGGCAGCAGGATGGCGAGGAGGAGCGGGAGGAGGTGGACAGGGGCGCACCCCGCGCGCCCGGCGCGGCCCGCCATCGAAACACAGCTGGCGGCGGGCGCGGCGGCGGCGTGGTGGCTGGCGCCCGCAAACGCGGCGGCGCGGCGCTGGCTGCTGCGGCCGCGTCGGAGGGCGGGCGGCGGGAGGCGGGGTCGCGCTCGCGGGGCAGTGTGGCTAGCGGCAGCAGCGACGGCAGTGATAGCGAGGACCAGGAGCAGCGGCGGCGCGCGCCCACAAAGCAGGGTGCTCCTGCCAAGCGGCAGCGCAAGGAGGAAGGGGACCGTCACCAGCGGGCATGGAAGCAGCAGCATGCAAAGCGTGAGGACCGCGGACGGGAGCAGCGCGAGCGCGAGGCGCCAACAAGCAGTGGCGGCGGCGGCAGTGGTGCCGGGCCGGCCGCGGCAATGGCGGCGCCGCAGCCCAGGGGAACACCCGCCAAGCGCAAGAGTGGTGCAGCGCGGGAGCAAAGCTGCCCGCCTGCGCTAGCTGCAGCTGCACCCTTGACGGGCGGCGGGGGCAGGGACGGCGGCGGGGGCGCCGGCTTTGGTAGTGGGGGCATACAAGGGGGCTGCGGTGGCGTGATCGAGCCAGCAGAGCGGGGCTCCTCTGAAGATGCGACCCCCAGCGACTTTGGGCGCAGCTTTTACGGCGCAGGTGCGCTAGCATGGCTTCTGCTGCCAGCCCCATGGTAGCAGACAACCCTATGCCGCTCGCTTGATTGTGGTTGTGACGGGTTGCGGCTAATCAGACCTTTGCATTTGCGAGCAGGCGCGCCAGCCCACCAGCTGTGACCGCCCTGAGCGCCAATCTTCCCTCGATGCGCTGCGGCCCCTGTCCCCTGCCACTCCCAGATGATGGCGATGACGCCGCCACCCTGCCTCTGGGGCCTCGTTTGGAGCCACTGGCGCGCTGGTTTGAGGTCCACTTCCAGCTGCTGGCAGCTGCCGGGAAGCTGGCGGTTCCCACGGGGCCCTACGCGACACCAGAAGCTGGCGCGCTGCCTGGGGGTTTTGGCTGGGACCCAGCAACCGGCCGCATCCTCAGGCAGGGGCCCCAGCAGCAGCAGCAGCAGCAGCAGCAGCAGCAGCAGCAGCAGCAGCAGCAGCAGCAGCAGCAGCAGCAGCAACTCGTCGCGAGCGCTGCCAGGCCAATGCTGCCAGCGCCTGCAGCGCAAAAGTTGCAGCCGCGTCCACTGACAGCAGCAGGCGGCGGCGGTGGCGACGGTGAGGGCGGACGTGGCGTCGAGCGCAAGCCGAAGCAGCCTTCCAGCAAACGCGGGCCGGAGAACCAAGGGGCGCAGGGCTTGAAACGACAGCGCAACGAGGGTAGCGGCGACGGCGGCAAGCCACCCTCCTCATCCAAGGCTGCACCGGGCGCTTCAAAGGGTGCTGGAGGCAGCAAGAGTAAGGACCAGCAGCTGCCCCTGCCGCCGCAGCAGCAACAGCAGCCTTCCCGGGAGCGTTCTCCCCCTGCAGCAGGGGATGGCGGCGGCTGCAACAGCAAGGCACCGCCCACCAAGCACAGGCACCGCGGAACTGCAACGGGGCGCGGTGCCGAGGGCAGCGAGGCGCGCTCGGCCGCCCCTGCAAGCGCCGCAGCGGGTATCGCCAAGCCCGCAGCCAAGAAAGATGCCGCAGTCAAACAGGAGCGCAGGGAGCAGGAGCAGCAGCAGCGGCAGCGCAAGCGCGCCGTCATCATGACGTCCGATGATGACGAGGACGACGATGACGATGGTGAGAGGACACAGCAGCAGCGGCAGCAGCAGGAGCAGCCACCAAAGCAGCAGCAGCAGCAGCAGCAGCAGCAGCAGCCACAGCCGCAACAGCGGCAACGGCACAAGCTCCCGCAGCAGGATCAGCCATTGCTTCAGCGCAGCAGCAGCGCCCCTACACCTGCAGCAACCCGCAAGCAGGAGACTCCTGACAGCAAGGGTGTCAGCAGTGGTGGTGGAGGGGCTGGTGTTGGTGGTGGCAGTGGTGGTGGTGCAGCGGCCAAGGTGAAGGCCGCCGCAGCAACACCAGCAGCAGCAGCACCAGCAGCAGCACCAGCGAGCGCAGGTGGCACAGGCAAGCCAGGTCCAAGCCCTGGAGGTGTCAGCAGCGGGCAGGGCGGCAAGGCCAGCGCTGGCTCCAAGCCGCCCACTAACCTGCCTGGCCGCTCCACTTCGGACCCTGGGAAGCCGGTGAAACAGCCGGCCGCGACGGCGGGGGCGACCGGCGCTGCCAAACCTACCAACCCCAGCAGGTTGGGGCGCCCCGCGCCAGTTGACGGCAACGGGCCGTCAGCCTCAGCTGCACGCCCCAGGCCGGCGACAAACCCAGCAGCGGCCGCACCGCCTAACAAGGGCGCCTCGCCTTCGATGGGTTTGGCCAAGCCTGGCGGCAGCGGCGACGGCGGCGACGAGGGCAGGGAGCAGTCAACGCTGCAGCCGCGGCAGCAGCAGCAGCAGCAGCAGCAGCAGCAGCAGCAGCAGCAGCGATCAGAGCTTCCGCCTCCCCACAGACTGACCTCGCAGCAGAAGACGCCACAGCAGCAGCAGCAGCGGATGCAGGATGATCAACTAGGCGATGGCCCCTCGGACGGGCGCCGCGAGGCCGCTGCCAGTGCTCCCTACGACCAGGCAGAGGCCAGGCCGCCCCGGCCGCCTGAGCGGCCGGCAGGCTTCGGCAGCAGCGGACGGTCGGCCGCAGCGGGCGCTGACAGCAGCAGAAGCGAGGCGGCCGCGCCGCCCGGTGCCCCTGCGAGGCCGCTGTCCCGGACGCGGCCGGAGGTTTCCGCCAGCGACGCGCCTTGCGCTGCGCCCCAGGCCGCGGTTCCTGGGCCTCTGCCCCCTGCAGACGCTGCGCCCCGTGGCGGTGCTGGCGTAGACGCCGCGCGCAGCCCGCAAGCACGCGAGCCCGCCCTCGCCCCCGCGGGCAGCGGCGGCCTCGGCGGGCGCGCTGCCCCGGGCGCCGCGACGCCGCCGCGCATGCCTCCCTGGTCCCCGCACCACCCCGGCACGGGCAGCCCTCGCATTGAGCGCCGCGGCAGCGGAGGCGGCAGCGGCGGCGGCGACGCGGCGGCGCGCGGCAGCCCGCCGAGGGCACCCGTGCCGCCGCATCCTCAGCAGCAGCGAGCGCCCGCTAGGAGGCCTGACAGCGCGGGCGCGCCAGGTCGCGCGCACGAGGCTCGCAGCGGGTCGCCCGAGCCGCGCCGCCGCAGCGGGAGCCCCCACGGACACCGCGAGCGGCGGGACGGCGGGGGCGGCGCCGCGCGGCTTAGCCCCGGCGGTGGCGGAGGCGGCGGCAGGGACTGGGACCCGCAGCGGCACAGGGATGCGTGGCGGGAGCGCGGGCGCGGGCGCGGCGGCAGCGCCGACGGATGGGGCGGGGGCGAGCGCGAGGGGAGCGCACAGGGCTCCAAGCAGGAGCACAGCAGCGGTTATGGCCACCAAGGCGGCGGCGACCATCGCGGCCGCTCCCCTTACGGCAGTGCGTCCGCGGGGCCCAACAGCGGTGACGGGGTCGGGGGCGGTGGCGGCAGCGGCGGCGGCGGCGGCGTATGGCGCGGCGAGCGCCAGCGCTTGAGCGGGGACGGCGTCAGCGGCGGCGGCGCCGGCGGCGGGGTGAGTGGCGGGGCGTCGCCGCACCACCCTGGGAGCCATCCATACCCTGGTGCATACTCTGGTGGGAGGGGCCTGCCACAGCCTGTCGGTGGTGGCAGCAGCGACAGCTACTACAAAGCTCATCCGCACCCCAGCAGCCCCCCACACGGCGGCAGCTACGGAGGGAACGGCAAGTCGACGCCCTTGGGTGCGTGGCCGCACCTGCAGCCGCAGCAGCATCAGCAGCAGCACACCGCGTCGCTTGGGCCAAGCAGGGGAGCGCACCCCTACGCATTTGGCCGCGGCGGCGGTGACAGCGGCAACTTGGGTGCGGGCCGCAGCTGGGAGGCAGACAGGCGTGTCAACAATAACGGTGGCACCGGTGGCGGGTATGGCGGTTACGGGGGCGGCGCGAGCGGCGGCGACCCCCGGGACCGGCGGTACGGATAGGGACGCGCCGAACGCTTGCATGTGCAACCGCCGTGCATTCAAAAGGTCGTGGCGGGGTTGGTGTTTGGGCGGACAGGCGGAGGGGGGACGGAGCAGGCGTCTCGGTGCGGGCCCAATCCTCTCGATGAGACTGCTGACTCGCGCCCTCACGAAGAGGCGGTCTCCATTCCTCCTGTTCAAGCAATGCCTCTCGTCTGGCGACTGGTTGCCGCCCCTCGGCCCCTCGTGCCCGCAAGGGGTTTACAGATGCACCCTGCATCTGCAGCACGTCGCTGCGACTGCGTGCACCCTCACTTTTTGGCCCCTGCTTTGCGAACTCCAGGTGCTTTCCATGCAGCAAACAAGTCAGTAAGCACCGGTAGGCTGTCAATGGGCGTGGCGCAGCCTGCAGGCGTCGCTCAGCACGCACCCAAGGCCTGCGCTAGACGCACAGCTGCACCCTGTTGCTGACAGCATGGGCCCTGTGCAACTGCTGGTGGGAACCCAGATGCGACCCTGCAGCAGCCAAAGCAGCTCAACAAGGCTTCTGCACATCACCGGTACGTGTGTGACTTTGCCAGAGATGTCCATGCCAAGTAGAAGATCACACAGCTGGGAATGGCAACGGAAGAAAAGAGAATTGTGAAAAAGAGAAAAACCATGTACGGAGAGATCTTCAAACAAAGCTGTTGTCAATCCCTTTCTCTTCTACCCTGCTGCTTGTCCGGCGCCTGCTGCCCGCCATCGCGGCCACCCGCTGCTGCCGCATCTGCGGAGCGACCCGTCTCGTCGCTGCTGCCGCCGCCAGAGTCTTCACTGCAAGGCAGCAGTGCGCCCACCACGACGCGGCCTTCGTCGTTCAAAAAATTGAAGTAGGACAGCGCGTTGCGCTGTTTTGGGGTGGGGGGCGAGTGACCATGACGGGCCAGGGTATATGGGAGGGCTTCAGTGCAGAGAGGAGGCTCGACGACCGGGCAATGAGAGCAGGCAGGACCTCTGGATTTCGCAGCGCTTCGCGACCAGCGGCCGAGCAGTTGCTGTGCTGTTGGCACCCACCCCTGACGGCGGCGCGGGGACAGCTGCCGGCTCGGGAGCGCTCGCTCAACGTCCGCTGCAAGAGAATGCACAAGGTGGGCCCCCACCGTGTCCAGCTCCTCGACTGCGATGCCTCGCTCCGCCAGCTGCCGCGTCAGCGCCTCCGGCAGCCGCCGCACGCGCGCGCCGCAGCCCACGACAAGCACCTCTGGCGGCGGCGCCATGAGATCGAGGATGGCGAGGGACTCGATGGTGACGTCACGCAGCGTCACCACGTCCCACATGAGCCAGAGCTCCGGCAGGCAAAGGATGGCGCCCTCCACCTGGGTGTTGTTGAGGATGAAGCCGCCGGGAAGGTAGCTGCGGGCCCGGGCGCGTCCATGGCGGGGCAGGCAGGGAGGGGGGAGTGGCAGAGGGCTTGAGGGGAGCTGACGGAGGTGCAGAGTGGCACCTGCGCTGGGCCCGCGCAACAAACCCATCACGAGTGTGGACTTTACTGCTTGGCTTTTGCCAAGGCGCCCCAACACATCTAGGTGTGGCGCTGCGGGTGTGGGTTGCTTACCCCTGCAGGCGCGTCTTGCCCCGTTCAGCGGCGATGACACTGCTGAGACTCGACATCCCACGTGCGCCGCTGCCTGCTGCTTCTGGGAGGGCATGATGCGCGCCAAGTCTGCATTCCCATGTGCCGGTGCTGCTGCTGCCATTGCTGCGACACGTCACAGGCGGGATTGCTGCTGCACCGGCACCGACAAAATGACGCCAGTGTTGCTGGGCTAAAAGGATGCTCCGTAAACCCTGCTGGGCCGCTCGTAGACTCATTTGAAAAGCAGGCTGCGACAAAGCAGTCAGATCATCCACAGGACCCAGACGCGGGACTCAGCGATTTTATTGTGACAATTGCATCTGATTGTTTCCTAAGTGTCAAGCTGGGAGAGCTGCGCTTGCCAGCTGCTGGACGGAGTCTACGGTATACCTGGTCTAAGGGTGAGTACTGTAGGGGTGTCTACGGTATCATACAGCGGACCTTTCAGAGACAGTTCATCATTATGACTCCAAGGTAGTGAGGTATACTTTTATTACGTATAGAGAGTGTGGTGGAGACTTGAATATCAAGGTTTCATGCTTGACATCTACAGCACAGACCATGGGATTACCCAGACCCATCTGTGACCGCTGGTCAACACTTCAACGGGATCTGAGCGACGCTCAGCGTGTGGTCTCACTCTGCTGGTTGAGAATGCTTGAACCTTCACACTCAAGGCTGCCGACTGCGGCGTGGCGATCGGTGAGCACTGTTTACAAACTGCACGCACGGCGAACCATGAGGTGGCGCTTGTGATTGGTAAGAACGCTGAGTGGACTTTCGCGTGGCTGGGTGCGAGGACGGCCTTGCTGCTACGCGAGCGGTGCTTGGTGGTGGCCTTTCGTGATCATAAAAGTAGGCAGTGAAGCTGGCAGAGCTGCGCTGCATGCCACTGTCGCTGATTTTGCAAGCCACCGGCAAGAATGGCCGGCTGCTCGCCATGTGACGCCAGGGCAGAGGAGGGACGACTTAGCAGCGGCCCTGACCGCCCCGCAAAGCAGTGCCTAGGTCGCTTCCAAGACATCCGCGGCAGCGGTAACTTCAGGCAGTGGCCTGCACGCCGGCCTGCGCACCAGCCCGCGCAGCACGCAGAAGAACAGCGGCAGCAGATGGGTGGGCAACACGACATCAGCGCGTGAGGCCGCCCAGGTCCCCGCCGCCGCCGGCCGAGCTGCCGCGAGCTCGTTTACTCTTGTGTACGCGGGATGACAGCATGGGTGTACCAGCTCGGGTGGCAAAATCCATCGTGAACGTGTACAGGAGTGACCAGCCTGAGGTGTGACGTGATGAAGCTGCACTCACTTGAGCAGGTCGACCGCACGTCGCGGGTGGTCAACCCTACCAGTCCGTCTGGTTGCGTGCGTATAGTCGATCCCTTATGTTCAGTATACCACAACACTTACATATCGAGTGGACATCGCGAGGATCTCACTATGAGGGATGCTCTGAGCTATTCGCTTGGGGCCTGCCCCTTTCTGAAGGCCCTCGTTGAGCGCGAGGGCACCGACTTTGCCAGCAACATAGCTCAGAACCCAACCCGGCCGGCCGGTCGTGCCAGCTGCGGCTCGGGACCCCTCTTTCCCGAGGGTGAGGGCAGCGGTGCTGCCGACCAGCTCCTCAGCACCTTCAGGCTTTTCCATGGTCCACAGGGTGTATGCCCGCTCTCTGGCTTTGAGTCAAGGGCCAAGGAGCTTGGGGAGCTTCCCCCATGCCCTGTCGCGACCGACGATGAGGCGACCGCTGCCGTTGCGGCACACCCGGCCTCGGCGCCCCTCCCTTTCGCGTCTATGGGCATGTCTTTCGGTGCTGGGGTGAGTGCTAGCCGCACCGCTTTGCTATGCAGGGCTGGGGGCTGCTCGGCGACGTGTCGCCGTCGCCTGCAGTTGTCGTGCACCATCACACGCTGCTTCCCGCTGCAGCTGGGGCTTGCAGCCACGACGCTGAAGCTCAAGCTGGCATCATTCCGTTTTGGTTCGCCTGTCGCCTGCAGGCCCACGGCTTTGGTGATTTCATGAGGCGGCACCTGCAGGGGCGAGGGCATTCGCAGCGCCCGCGGCCCCCGGCACGGAACGCGCCCACCAGCGGCGGGCCCGGGTCCACAAATGGCAGCAGCGGCAGCGGCAGCGGACCAGGCAGCAGGGGTAGTGGCGGCCCCAACCGGCCTGAAAGGGGCCCCGCACCGGCTCGGGGAGCAGGAAGCTCGGCAGGCCCAGGCAGCGGCGGCGCTGCAGATGGCGGCGGCGGCCGGGCGGGCGGACGTGGCGGCGGTGTCGGGGGTGCCGGAAGCAGGGGCGCCAGGCCTGGCGGCGGCCCGCTGGGCATGGGCGGTGGCGGCGCCGCGGCTGGGGGCGCGGGTGCAGGGGGCTCTGCGGCTAGCGCCGGCAACTGCCCTTTGCGCCGCTGGCTAGGCCCGATGGCGGGCGTGGTCTTCAACAGCTATGGGAAGCTGCAGTGCCCCGAGCCCATCATCGCGGCCCGCGCCGCGCTCGCGCGCACCGCGCCCGTGCGGCAGCTGCGCCCGCAGGCGCTGCCTCTAAAGCTCCTCGCGGTCGCGGCGACTGCCGCCGCCGTCAACGTGCCGTGCGGCGCGTGGCGCGAGCACTTTGAGAAGTTCAGCTTCGGGTGGTTTGTGGCAGTGCACGCGACCATCCCCTTTGTGGCGATGCTGCGCAAGGCGGTGGTCATGCCCAAGCTCGCGATCGCAGTCACCATTGCGGCCGCCATTGCGGGCCAGGTCATCGGGTCGCGCCTGGAGCGCGCGCGGCTGGCAGCGGAGCGCGAGCGCCGCGAGGCGCGCGCCGCGTCCGCGCCTGCGGCGCCCGCGGCGGCTGCCAAGGGCCCGAGGAAGAAGGCCGCAGCTGCGCGTGCCACTGGCCGCACCCGTTCCCCCGCGCCGGCCGCGGCGGCGGCAGCAGCGGCGAGCGGGGCCTGCGGGGGCGAGGGTCCCCTGGGCGACGACGGCCTGTTTCCTCAGCTGTCATGCGCACTGGCCAGCATGACGCAGCGCCCACGCAAGGGCCTGCAGCCTGGCGTCGGGAGGCTGTGCGCGCTCCCAGTCTCGCCCCTGCACGTTTGATGTGCAAGATGCCTGCATGTCTCATGCAATGTTGGTGCAGAGGGTGTGTACTCTCATTCGTGTGCGCGCATTTGTTCGTGGCTTGCATATGATGTCTCAAGACTAACGTTTTGATGGTGGGCGTCAGCAGCCATATTGCTGTTCTAATATGACAAGTGTGTTGTGATAGTGGTCTATAGATCTTTGCTTGTACGGTGAATGTGGACTGTGACGGTTGTGACACTGCTGCATGTTAGCCACTAAGTATTTGTTGCAGCACCCGCTGTGGTCCTCGTGTCGCCACATGTGCTGTCAGCACGCAAGCATGTGTTCTTTGTTTGATGCATCACATTGCCCAGCCGCGGTGGTGTGGTGCTTGCACTGCACACAGTAACGCGCACTGAATTGGGTTCTTTGCGGCGCGTGCGGTGGCAGGGTGTCACGACTCGACGCGGCCGAGCATAGGACAGGGCCCAGCGGGCAGCCTACCAGCCCCACCCAGCCAGCCTTCCAATAAAAACCGGGCGTCGCTGTCGTATACAAGTGCTGAGCTGACAACCAATCAGCTACACCGAGATGACGCTCCTTACACATGAAGTCAGCCGCGCGTGGCATGCGGGCCGCCAGCCATTTGGCCGGCGGTCTCTAAGGAACACATGTCGCAGCAGGGTAGCAGACCACTACAACTTCTTGCTGTAGTACTCAACCACATAGCGCTCAAGGTTGCTGGCAGGTGGGGTGCGGGGGTGGGGGCACGCGTGAGATTGAGCGACTGGCAGACCTTGCGAGATCAGCCAGCTGCTGTTGCCGACCGCCTGCCAGCCGGCTGCTGTTGCCGGTCGCCTCCCCCCCAACACCTGGCATTGCCGGTGTGGCCTAACAAAAAGGCATGGTGCTGGGCGACCGCCCAGACGAGGTTTGTTGCTGGCTCGCAGGCATGTGGCCCCGCCATGCGGTGCTGCGGCGACCTCCCAGCCTCGGCCAGTCCCCGCGGCCCGCCCCGTGCTTACTTGTCCCCGATGGTCATCTTGATGCCGACGCTGCTGCGGCTGGCGACGTCGGTGACGACCGCCACGGTGGGCTTGATGTACACCAGGTGCGCCGGCTTGGGCAGCGGCAGGAAGTCCTTGAAGTCGGGCTTGTCCCCGTCAGCGCGCGGCCTGCGGCGGCCGGGGCGGGCCAGGCGGCGGCGGGGGCGCGCCGGAGTGAGGATGCGGCGCGGGAGGCGCAGGAGCAGGGCCAGGCGCACCCAGCAGGCCGACGGGTGGACTTGTGGCAAGGCCGGCGGCGACCAGCTGCAGGCACTGCTGGCGCAGAGGGGCAGCTGCACAGGCATATGGGGACCAGAACCACACAAGCTGTCGATGCGTCAGGCCGTCGGCTTGCGAACACGCTGCTCGACAGCAGCGCCATCGCCGCCGCTCTGTTGCCCGACACAGCCAAGCTTCACTCTAGCTTTGCCGTACATCGCTGGGTGTCACCCACCTGCGCGAGAACCGGCCGCGGAGGTTGCCCCTGCGTGCTCCCTCATCGCCGGCGGCGAAGACGCGAACTGCGCCGCGTGCGGGCCGCTGCACCGCCACCCCTGTGATGTGCAGGCGCCGGGAGAGTGCATCAGGCCGCATGCGTCGATGCGCCATTCACCCCAACTGGTGCAGAACTACTCCCATGTGCTTCAAAGGTACTGTGTCGCTTATTGCAGATGCAATCGCCTTCTTCGGCCCTCTAGCTGGTGTGCTGCAAGAGCCTGGTGGCCAATAGGGAGGCCCGACCATGGTGTGCTAGCACCAGGGCCCGCCACACCTTGCCAGCTGACAACATACAATGCATACGTATCGCTTGGCGCATTGCCCCGAGCAATGGAGCAGCGCCGTGGGCTGGGCGTCTGTGGCTGCTCTCGCCCAGACGCCTTCGGTCGCACAAGCTCCCCTCTCACCCGCCGCTGTGCCACGAGCAGCCAACATTGTAGGTTAGAACTGCTGCTGCTGCGCCTGTCTGCTGAGAACCGGTGCGACCACAAGACAGCGAACGTGGCGCGGTAACCGGTTCAAGGCGTACAAACTTATGAAATACAATGTGTGCAATGAGGAGGTCGCATTACTCGCTGTGTTCTTGCCAGGTCCTCAGTGACCCCAGGGCGCCTTTGCGATGCCCGCTGCCCAAAGCCAACCACCAGGGCAAGGCCTTGTCCTTATACATTCTCAGGCTCTTCATTGCCATATTCTGTAGCTTCATTGCACCATGGGGCGAGAAGAACACGAGCGATGACCGCAGGGACGATCTAGGCACCATGACGCTGTGCCGTAGGCACCAGTGGCGTGTCTTGCTGGCCTTGACGTGGCTGGGTGCGGCCCTCCCGCTGAAGGTGGGCTATGCCACGATGGTCGCCTTGACCTGGCAGGCCTGCTTCGCTCTGGGGCCCTTTTCTATTCATGAAGAGTGCGCGCAAACCACTGGGCAAGGACATCACGGCCATGCGGGGGCTCTGCGCGCGCTCTGACTCGCGCGCTCTCCTGCGCCCAACTGTCTGTCGCGCCCCGTACGTGATGCTCCGGCCCTGGCAGGCAGCCGCGCTTGATGGCGCGGCCAGCCTTGCCGGCGTCCAAGGCCCAGCTGTGCCTGTGGCTGTGCCGCCTGGGCGCCCCACAGCGCTGGCAGGCGCTGCTCCCGCCCAAAGCGCCTCGGCAGCGCAGGCGACGCTGCAGCCCGCCAAGATCGTCACGGTTCAGGCCATGGGACCCAGCAGCCTGACGCAATTCGTGGCCAACAGGGTCATCATCAACTTGAACGGCAGCCTGTGCAGCAACCTGGCGCAGGTGCGCGCATAGGGCATGCCCTGGGTGCGGCCGGCCGGACGCATGCGCTGCTCCCTTGCGCCGCCGCCGCAGCCGCCCCCCCCCCCCATTTGTGCGCGCAGTCTCGCCACCCACCACACGGCCTCGCGCGGCCTCCCCTTGCCGCTCCCAGGGTGGCGGCGGGGAAGCCAACGCGACCGCGCGGCTGCACCTTGTTGGGGCGCGGCTAGACGGCAAGGACGCGGTGTTCCCAGGCAGCGCCACTGCAAACTGCACCCACCTGGCGTTCTCCGTCACGCCCGACGCGTCGGTGCGCAGCGGCGCGTTCGCCGCCCGGGTGTCCGCTCCCGGCGGCGCGCCGCTGCAGTTGCCCGGGCCGATCACGGTCGTGCGTCCGCCGACGGTCGGCGTGGCGGCGCGGTCCGTCGAGCTGGCGGCGGACGGCACAGCCGCGCAGCTGCGGGTGCGGCTGTCGGGGTCGGCCAAGGTGGCCGTGCGCGTGCGGCTGCAGCTGTCGGACGGCGCGCTGCAGGTGGGAGGGGGGCTCGGCGGCGGGGCGGGGGCTTTGGGCGCTGCGCTCAGGCGCAGCCGCTCTCATTCCGGGCGCTTCTGGTGCATGTGCTGCAGGGGGCGCGGGAGCTGGCGCTGCGTGAGGCTGCGCTGCGCTGCGGGGCTGTTTGCGGCGCTGCATGCGCACCGCGCTTTCTGCCGCTGCTTTTCACCCCTCAGCACATGCGAGCATCGCTGCCCCCTGCGGACTCGCGCACCCGTTCTCTGCACCCGCCACACGCGTCTGCGAACAGCTGGTCGGCGGCGACCGCGTGACCTGGCCCCCCGGCCAGTCCGGCGAGCGCACGTTCACGCTGCGCGTCACGTCCGCGCCGCGCGCGGGGCGCATCTCTGCGCGGCTCGTCGATGCGGAGGGCGGCGCGGTGATCCCGGCCGCGGACGCGGAGGCGAGCGTGGTAGTGCTGTCGCCCGTGCTGTCGTTCGTGCCGACGAAGCAGGTGCGGCGCACGGGCCGGGGCCTCGCGCGGCTGCGGGTGTGGGGGTGCAGCTGCGGTTGCTTGGTGGGACTGCGCCCCTGCTGATGAGGAACTCGGCAGCCAGCTTGAGCAGCGTCCCACGCGGTCGATGGGGGATAGCGCGGCACACCAGCAATCCAGCCGCGCAGCGCAGCCGAAGCCGCGCTCGCCGCCGCCATCCACGGCACCCTCCCCTCCCCTTCAAAGGCGATCGTCCGCGGCGACGCGGCGCCGCCGCTGGTCACGTTCAAGCTGTCGGGCACCAGCGCCTTCCCCTCCTCTTGGTCATACACAACCTACCTCCTCAACGGCTCGCGCCCGACCGACGCCGGCAGCTGCCGCGCGGGCGCCAACGCGAGCGCCGCGCCCGGCGCGGCCGCGCCGCCCGGCTGCGCCGCGGACTGGGACGCGCGCGCCAACCTCAGCGTGCGCGGCACGGTGTGGGCGCAGCCGGGGCAGGCGTCGATCGCGCCCATCCGGCTGCCACTGGAGTGGGAGCGCGTGCCCTACGAGGCGGAGTACATGGTTGGCGTCCGCATCTCTCCGCTGATCAACGGCCGCGCGACGCAGCAGGCCACCGAGGCCGCCGCCGTCGTCTTTGGCACACCGCCGGGCCACTGCCCCCCCGGCAGCGCGCTGCGCCGCGACGCGGCGCGCGCGGGCGACGCGGCGGACGGCCCCATGTACGGCGGCACGGCGGCACTGCAGGAGCTGCGCCTGTGGGTGGATGGCCTGGGCGGCGCCAACAGCAGCAGCAGCGGCGTCGGCAGCGGCGGCGGCGCGCTGGGCGCGGCTGGCGGCGGCAGCAACGGGAGCGCGCTGGATCTTGACCCGCCGTTCCAGCCGCTGACCGACCGCTACGTCGGGCTGCTGCCGCACACCGCGCGCGACGCCGAGCTGGTGATCGGCTCCACGCGCGGCGGCGACAGCGTGGCCGTCGACGCGGGCGGCTGCGACGGGCTGGTCAGCCGCGACTTTAATGTGACGCGCGGCCGCGGCGAGCGCATGTGGCGCGCGAGCTACGGGCTGCGCGCACAGCGGCGGCCGTGCTGGCTGCGGGTGCACGTCTTCACCTCGGCGGAGGCGCAGCAGGGCGGCGGCGCGGACGGCGCGGACGACGGCAGCGCGATCCCCGACGCGCTGCAGCCGCAGGCGGCCGCCGAGGACGAGGGGCGCAAGGGCGCGGCGGCGCCGCCGCAGGACGCCGGGCGCGCGGCGCTGCAGCAGGTGGAGAAGGAGGGCGTGCGGCGCGTGCTGTACCGCAGCTACTCGATCCGGCTGGTGCCCCTGAGCCCGCTGACGGCGCTGTCGCTGCGGGCCATCTCGTTTTCAAACAGCACGGCCACCCTCGTGGCCTGCGGAATACCCAGCCGCCTGGGCCACCTGTTCGTGCAGCCGCGGCCGGCGGCGGCACCGACCGCGCAGGGCGGCGCGGCCGCGGCGGGCCCGGCGGCGCAGCCGCTGCCGGCGCCGCTCGTCGCGGCGCCGGGGCTGCTGCCGCGCGTCGCGTACTACCTGAACGCGCCCGCGGCCGCCGCGGCCGCCTCCATGCGCCGGCGCGCGCCGCTGCCCGTGTGGGCGCCCGCGGACGCCTCTCAGCAGCAGCAGCAGCAGCAGCAGCAGCAGCAGCAGCAGCCGTCGTCGCCGCAGCCGGCGCAGGCGGTCCTGTCGCTCACCGACCCTCTGACCAACCAGACCGTCATCTGGGCCGACCTCACCGCCGCCGAGTGCGCGCCAGACAGGTTTGTGCTCGCGCCGCTGGCGCAGGTGCTGGCGCTGGGAGGCGAGGCGCGGATGGCGCCAGAGCTAATGGACGCCTCGGCGGAGGGCGTGCGCGTCGGCATGAGTGGCGTCGCGCTCGCGCTTTCAGACGGCGCGGCCGGGGCGAACGGCGGCGGGGCGGCGGCGGGCGGCGCGGGCGGTGGCGGAAACAGCAGCGGCTTGATATCCGCGGCGCTTCTGCTGCAGGACGCGGCGAACATAAGCCTCGCCCTCGCCGGCGGCGGCGCCGCTGCGGCCGCCGACGGGTACGCGCTGCCAGGCGTGCCGCGGCTGCCGGGGGCGTCCCTCGAGCTGCCGGTGATTACGACAGCCGACGACGGGCTGTCATCGAAGACTTACACCCTGGTGCTATATACAAACGTCACCAGCGCCCAGACGCTCGCGCGCCTCCGCACCGGCGGCGCCGCCGCCGCGCCGGGCAACGCGTCGGCGCCCGACGGCGACGCGGCCGCCACCGCGCGGCGCGGCGGCGCGGCCGGGTCCGGCAGCCGCCCCGAGGAGGAGGAGGCGGCGGCGCTGCAGCGGGACGTATTTGGTTCGCGGCCGGCGGGCTGGCCGGCGTCGCCTGGGGAGAGCAGCAACTGCAGCCTGTGCGCGCGGGGCACTTACTCGTCTAAGCTCGACGCGCGCGAGTGCCAGGTCTGCCCCCCGGGCAAGTTCTCCGCCTCGCCCTTCAGCAGCGGCTGCAGCCTGTGCCCGCAGGGCTCCTTCTCGTACTTCTGGGGCGCCGACGCCTGCCGCACCTGCCTGCCGGGCACGTTTGCGGCGCTGCGGGGCTCCCTCTACTGCGACATCTGCGCCGACGGCCGCACCACCATCGGCGAGGGGGCGTCTGGCTGCGACGTGTCGGTTGCTGACCTGGCGACCCCGGAATACGTGATGCTGCTGTCCTTCGGCGTGCTACTGTCGGGCGCGAGCCTCAACGGCGTCAGCCGCGACACGACGGGCATCAACGCGAGCAGCGAGGGCATTGTGGCGGTGCTCGTGCGCAGCGACACGGCGTCGGCGCTCAACGTGAGCCTGGAGGCCGTCACTATCGGCGGGGTCACCCAGATGAGCCGGCGGCGGCTGCTGGTCAACGTGAGCGCGGCGGTGCCGATCAATACGGAGGACGCGGCGGCGGCGGACACGCGGGACCTCAGCGCGGGTGCGTGCGGGCGTGTGCACTTAAGCGTGTGTCTGTCTTGTGTGAATTTAGTGTGTTTGTGTGTGTGTGAATAGG